TATCACTAATAATTCGAGAGGAGTCAAAAAATGGAAGTTGTAAGAAATACCGAAGACAAACAATGCTTTGGGAAGGAGAACTACTCACAATAGACCAAATTGAAGGACACGTAGTCAATCACCCACAAGCCGAAACAATAACGCTAGACCAACTAAACGGCTCGAGCTTACCAACTTTGGACACGCTCATCTTCAAGAATTTAGAATTAACGAACGACTCCGACCCAACAATCAGGTTGCTAGCTTCATTTCGAACCTTCGCCAGAGGACAACACATGCAAGCAATCATGAGTGACAAAAGTACGACAGAAAATTACGAACCCCAACGGTTCGACTACACCTTCAGCTTAACACAATGGATGTCTTGGGAAACTGCGTTCAAACTTACGTTCGTATACAACATTCTATCCATACTATACATGTACATACTCCCATGGGGAATAAAGAAGATACTACAGCGCACCAATCTGATCGAGGCCACACACAATAATGAAGCAACAAGAAGACATTCGATAATCCGGATACAAGAGGGAAAAGAAGAGCCAACTCTAGAAACAATTTCACCACCCGACACCCTCAGTAGATACGAGCTAAACCGAATCTCAACACGAGTGATGCGGAAGTTAAAGGACAGGGACCAAACTAAGGTCCAATTCCTGAGGGAATAGCTACGACGTGGGGAGTGTCGGGAACGCCCGAGACACGAGACTCGGGCGTTCCCGGGTAAAAATAAAATTTTTATTTTATTTTTTATTCTTTTGTCAGTCGGTGTGAAAAAAGTGAATCACCGACCAATCAATTCACATTCCTTTTTATTTTTGTGTAAAAATTTTTCTTTTTATAAAAAATGTTTTTTCTTTTAATAAAAGATTTTTTATTTAGCCTTCTTTGGCCTACAATCTTTTCCCCTCATCTTTTAACAACAACATTCCCACAATAATTTTGTAATGTAAATAACTTATTTTTAAAAGAAGATATAATCATTTACCCCCACTATTTAAAGAAGCACACTCCTCCCAACAACACTTCACTCTTTCCTCATCCCACTTGGGACAGCAACACACCACAACAGGCGCTCCTTGCCGGAACCGTTCCCTAGCCTTCTTTGGCCGAGAGAGCGGTAACGGCAAGGAGTGCCCCGACAACAATGATTGGCTATCCCTCTCCTGTGGCGACCCAAGAACTTAATAAATTTATTAATTTCGCGATTTTATTCATTTTTCACATTTTTCGTTCACACATTTTTTGTTCACACATTTCTTTGTTTAATTCGGTTTAAATACCCAAGTTTGAGGTGCTATAATAAAATATTATATTAAACTTTTGTCTTCGTTTTATTAATTGTCAGCAACCCAAATATTTAATTTGACGTTTCTGATAAAGATGCATGTGATTTTGAATTAGTAGTATATATGTTTGTTGTACTAGACGTGTTCATTTCAACTCCAAAAAATTTACATTTCTCGGAAAACACAAAGATCCAAGACTGAAATTGATTCCTTTTGACGACGTTCCTTCTTAATTTTAGTTAAATTTTATTATTTTAGTTATACATGCTAAAATCGGCAATAAATACATTAATTAATTAGTCTTCTTTTAAAACGTGAGCAACAGTCATTGACACACGGAGCGGAATTTTTTATACTCTGACATGTTTAAAAAGACATGCCCTGACATGCCCAAAAAAGTTGAAATTTAACAAAAAAAAATAACCACGTTTTTAAAATCGACTTTATAGCTCGACAAATCGAGTATTTTTACTCTCTTGGACATTTTTTGATTGATAAAATGAGGGTGGGACATTTTGTGGGTTTTCTCAATGTGCCATTTCGGGTTTTGTCCTGTGGGACATTTTAAGGGCGAAGCATTTTGGAATGGGCCTTTATGGGGACCTTTGGTCATTTACACATTTTGACAGCACTGTAGGCCATAACATCCCCTTTTCAGCGCCGCAGGCGAAAATTTTGAGAATTTTGGTTGTCAAACGTCTAGATTTCTTCAATTTTTCCTAAAATTTATAAAAAAATCCCTAAATTTTGGTAAAAATATGCAAAAATATTTAAATAATTTGAAAAATGTGCCAAATATTGAAATAACTGGAAAATTGGCAAAATATTGAAATATATTGAAATGTAACTTCGTTCAAAATCATAATATCGAAAAACTAATGGCATATTTGGGCTTTTCTCGCAATAATATATTCAGGAAAAAAATATATTTCAATACAAATCCGATCCCTACTTATAAGTATAGTAATAAACTAATTTTGTTAAAAAATAACAAAAATATTAGGAAATTAAGGAGATTTTAAATAATTAAATCGAGTGGTCTTTTATAGATTACAAGAAACTAAAACATTAAAATAACAAAATTTCTTATAACCTTGTGATTCTTCTGACGAAGTGTCACTAGAAGAGGTAGATGAATCTGTAAATGTTGCCTCAACAATTACAAAGAAAATTAAGAGGAATAAGGAACAAATATTGAAATTCATCTGTAAATTTGAAAAAGAATTGTCAATCTAGGAAATATTCGAAGGTAAAATTATAATCTAAAGTTTTGCTGTAGTTGCCTAAATCATAAAACGGTAATAGTGTCGTTTCCAGGCCCCATTTTTTCTCCCCAATTTTTTACCCTATGCTTGTACGGAATGGTCAAATTTTCCCCTTTCTTTCATCAAATTTGCCTTTCCATATTTTGCCTAAAAACAATCAAAAAGCTTGGTGTTTCTCTCAACTCCCCAATCATCCATGCATCTTTCTTTGATGGTTGTCTGCCTCTTTCATATTTTCGTCTCACAACAACAGTCTTTCATTTTTATTAATTGGGAAAATGATTCTTCTCATTACTCTAATATTTTTTTAAATATCACAAATTAATCTTTTTGATTGTTTTTAGGCAAAATATGGAAAGGCAAATTTGATGAAAGAAAGGGGAAAATTTGACCATTCCGTACAAACATAGGGTAAAAATTGGGGAGAAAAAATTGGGCCTGGAAACGACACTATTACACATAAAAATCTTATTTATATAATTGAAGTAAGTGAGTTTTTTAATTATTCAGTTGAAAAGAATTTAAAATGCTCTCTAGAACTTGGATTAAGAACTATTAAAAGAGAAGGTGAAAGCAGAGCTAGCTCAGAAATAAAAAAATCTCTCTGTAAATGGAAAACGAAAGCGTCTAGCAACAATAAGAAAAATATAGGATACATGCCGGTGCTACCTTTTACAATAATTCGATCAAAAGTTGAATTGACAATCAACTTCAAAAAACTATTATGAACACTCAAATTAAGCTTATATTTTTATTTAAAAAAATAAATTTAAGGAGAAAATTGTTAATTTTATTTAGGTAAACAGAGCAGATTATTAAAAAATAATTAATCAAATGACTGCTATTTATATTCAAGCTTGGCCAAAGAATGCATTCAGGAGTTGCGAAGAATTTAGTAAAATTTGTAGAAAATCGCACAAAATTGAATAAAAAAAGACTAATTTTGAGAAATAATGTCAACAAATATTAAAGAAAACACCGCTTAATTCATAATCACGAGATGATTACATAATAAAAGGGCAAACTTAATACATTTTTATTTATGCCTGTCACATTTTTCTTTCAATCCTCATGTTTTTATTTAAAATCAAAGTCGGATTTGCTATTAACGAATGTCTAGGTAAAATGAAATAATAAGAGAGCACTTTCCAAATTTATTAATGAAATTTTAATTTTGTTTATTAATTTTTATAAAATCGAACAAAAAAGTAAAATTTAGTAAATAAATTTAAAAAATAAAATAATATTGACTAAAGAGGTCACACTCTTAATTGATTTTCGTTTAATTTCATGTTTCTGAAATTTATTTTATTCTAAACGAATTTAAATAAATATCAAAAACAACATTCAATTTTACAAATTTAGTTGCATGTCTTTTTTATTTATCATTTATTTATCAACATAAAAATGTCATTGAAAGGGCGTGCCACTTAATTCGACAACAATGTCGTATAAAATGCAATCAAATAAAAAACAATAAAACGATAAAAGTCATAATAATTTAAGAAAAAAACACAAATTAAAAAAAAAGCACACAAATTTATATTCTAATAAATTTATTTCTTTAAATAAATATACTCCATGCCGACCATTTTGATTAAATAGGATAATTTAATATACAAATATAAATTTAAAATCCAAACGAAAATGTAATAATATAATTCTAGTTGATTTTTTGTCAAAATTTAAAGAATTGGTTTCTTAAACAATTTTGCTGCGTTTTCGTTTTTCGTTGTTGAATTTTTAATATAACATAAATTTTGAACTTTTTTAAAATCTGAGAAGCTCTTTTTTCTGGCGAAGCATATCATTAGCATCTCTGCACATTTATAGGATAATTCAAAACAGGTTATTCCCTTAATTATGTATTATGAAAGCTGAGAAATTGTCGGAAACATTAAGGAGGATATTTTTGAAAATTAACCTTACCAAATATAAAGTAGTAATAAGTTTTTATGAAAATAAAAGTGCAATTTACTATTCAGCTGATTTCAAAAAATAAATATTACAAAATTGGCGGCATAATTTTCTTAATATTTTTTATCAAATCAAATGAATTTGTAAAATTTTGAAAATAAATTATTAAAAATAATTCCTCAGTTCCTCCTTTCTGTCCTGTAACCTCTGTGCCGGTTTAACTACTCAACGGACAAAACTTCTAAAATTATATATAGGATCATTGTTGTTACATTAGATTACAATTTTTTAACTGTGATTTTCGTATAAAGAAATAACATATGTATTATCTCCAAAATTAACCTTAAATCCTTTTTATATTGACAAATTCCGGCCAAACATTAATAAAAGTAATGAAAACACTAATTAAATTTTCCTTTAAAAATTAATAATTTATTTAAAATCAAACAAATTAGTAAATTTCGAATATAATTTTTTAAAAAATAACATTTTTATAACAACAAAATAGAAACAGAAATAATATTTTGTTTTGTTGTTCAAAATGAAAAGTGGGCCTTCAACCATTTAATGCCAAAAACCAAGCCTAAAGTAATTATAATCACCACAAAAATTGCCCAGACAATACAACAATTAAATCCTCCACGGCGACATGTTTCTCCACAAGTTTCATTACTATTCCCAAAACAACCAGTTTCAGTATCATCAGCGCGTTTGCGACGAACCAAAAATTGTTTCATATTTAATCGCTTATTGTCTAAAATAAAATTTCAATTATAGTTTTGCATATTGTTTCCCCATTTTGTGGTTTATTATAAGTCAATGAGAAGATTTCTCATTGACTAGATTTTCGACTAGATCATTGACTACATAGATCCTCTAGATTTTCGCTTGCGGCGCAAAAAATGATATAAGATTATCATTAGTAACCAAAAAATGTTCATTTTAGTAGATGAGTCAAGAAATATAACGATTAGAATGATCCTAGTTCAATTTTTGTGTTTTATAATTTTTTGCGGATTATCGTTAAAGATCGGGTCCGCAAAGTTCACGCCGCGCGTAGTCGTGGTATTTTTCAAGCAAGGACCGATAAGTTCAAATTTAGACACATCTAAGCTATGATTGGATGATCAAAATTAAAAAGTAAAATTCGATGAGTTTTATCATTTAGGTTATGTTAAGAGAAAAATTTAGTAATAATTTCTACCTTATTCAAATGTTATAAGCCGATTTTACATTTTGATATTTTTAGAATTAAAAAAATCGCTTACTATATTTCTTGACATCTTTCTTCCAACACAAAAAACCAGTATTTGACGGGATTCTAAAATTCAGAGCAAACGACTTCCAAATTGAAATAGCATCGTCAATAACATTACCCTCAACTTCACTCTTTTCTGTAAAATGCAGCCAAAACTTGTTAAATATCCCAGTCAGATAATTTTTGTCAAATAATTTTCCATTCTCTATGAGTTTTGCATTTTTAAATTTTTCCTGAATTTTGCCATATTTTTTATCATTAAATTTGTTGTAGAGAGCCAATGATGTTTCTTTAACACTTTGAATTTTATCAAATGCTTCCTTCAAGTTTGAAGCCTTGGCAATGTCAATCAGATTATTGAGGCTCTAAAATTTTTATGTCGATTTGAAAAAATTTTCAGTTCAATTTTAAATAGGAGTCCTAACTAATATGTATAGAATGAAAACTAAATATGACCAGATCAATTCAGCAATTTCATAGTAAGATAAAAGCTGTACTGATGTTTAGCGAAAATCAGTAAAAAAACAAAAAATCCACAAACAACAAACTGGATCCTTTACCACTAATCTCATTTGGGTTCTTATTTACATCCTAATGATAAGGGTCACTAATTTCCATAAATTTTATTTTAAAGTCTAATTGTATCTGCAATTCATCTTACATCATCAATGTCTAAAGTTGTCATTTCCTTCTCAATCATTCGCAACTTTTGTTTCAGCTGATAAGATTCTTCTAATTCATCTATCATTTCTGGTTCAACATGACTCCAACAATTTATTCCAACAAGATTAAATATGAATATTATGATAATTAACATCTCTAAAAGCTAAGATTGATAATAATTTTCAGATCCGAACTTAACCTTATTCTTTTTCTGAACTGAATAAGATTTCTTAGCATGTTCGCACTCAAATCGTTATTCATCGCTTAAGTCTTGCGTAATCCCGGAATACTATATGCAATTCGGTAGTGCTATCTCATGCCATTCAGTGGCTATGTCTTGTTGACTCTAATGCAACAATCCAAGGTTCCTTGCGGCATAATAAAAACTGAGAAAAAGATGCTGAAAGTAGCTTCTGATTAAAGCCTTGGAATGCTTATAATTTACTCCAGACCTAAATCCAGTCATATTTACTTAACTCTATCATAATCACTCAAATTTAATTAGGAATTAAAAAAAAGTTATTGAAAAAATAAAAAATGGATTCGTTTGACTTCTTTTATGACTTCTTTTAAAATATGAATTGCTTTATAAAAGAGGAGGAGATAAAGTGCAATTCTCTACTTAGTTGTTAATTGCGATAAAGTGCAAGTCTACTATCTCTTGCCATTCATAGACTTATAATTTATAAAAGATTTTCCGCTAACTATTCACTAATAAATAAGAATGATGCAATATTTTAATTGATTTCCAAATTTCTTAAATCTTTTACCCTTATATTTATTGCCGAAATGCCGAGTGCAATAATTAACAAATTTTATAATGTTTGAAAATAATTTTTAAAAATATTCAAAAACTTTAAAGGGCTTGTTTGCCACCAAGTAGCTCAACATCTGATCCTCCACTACCACCAACTATAATTCTTAAAATAACAGTGGGGCTAGTGTCTGAGCCAAAGATTACCGAAGAAGTACAAAATATTCGAAAACTAAGAGAACAAAACAGTATTTTATTATATTATCCGAGATGTTCCAATAATAAAGTTATTAAAAGAAAATTAGAGCAGTATGAATTTAAGGTATAAAGAGGAAAAATATGTACATGTGACAACAGATGGAACAAAAAATAAAACAAAAAAAGAATAAATTAACAAATACACAAAGAATTTAAATCAGAAATAATTTAAATTTTGAATTGTTAATTTTTCGGTTTGGTTGCGGCAAATCAATAATCCACAAATTCCCTTAAATAAAAGTAATCCGTCCATCATCATTTATTCTTCTGAATCCATCAACACTCTGATAGATCCTTTGATATCTGTCTAAATTCGCTGTATCAAATAATCAAATAGTTTCAATGTAGATGATATTTAATCAAAAAATTTGATTTTCCTTTTACCCATCAAATTTTAAAATTGTTTGCGTTAATTAATCATTAGTCACTTATCATAAACCTCATAAATGAAAAAAATTACGAATAAAATATAGACATGCTCGGCTTCCTCCGCAGCGGCAAAAACTTTTTTCCGCGAAAATCTTGTGAAAGGGATAAAAACAAATAGTCATAAAAAGCCTTGAATTATCCAGAAAGGCGTCAGAATCAATGATAAGATGTGCAAGTTATTAAATTTCTAAAAATAAAATGAATTATAGTTAAAATGTATCCGCAAATGATAGGAATTTGGGAATTTGTTTAATCATGCATTTTTTGGAAGCCGGCAATGTCGGTTAATTTTAAAGAACTAAAATAGAGTTGGACACAACCAGCGGTTTTCAGTTCTGATTTGATTAATCGTTTCTGGCCTACCCTATATTAATAGGTCAAATTTTAACACCTTAAAAATGCTTATCACAAATAAAATAAAAAATAAATTTCAAAATTCACCTTTAAATTATTGTTTCCTTCAGAATAATTTTTCATTCCAGTTGTGTTAATTCAGGATTGGGTGGACAAACGCTTTCTAGGCTAGGCGAGTTTGTCTTTCTATTAAGCATCATATGGGACTATAATAGTTTCAATCAACTCTTATAATAACCAACTTTTATGTGGCATCCAAAAAATTAAACCGAACTTTGTTAGGATGAAGTACAACCCCAACGGAATGTTAAAACTTAAGAGTACGCCTAATTTTGAAAAATTATATTGAACATTAATATTTTCTATGCATTATGTTTGCGAATTTGTTACGTTTACTTATAAATCTTATAGACATTAAATAGTTTCAAACACCGCTTACTTATTTTACTTGCCAATTTAATGCATGGCATCCAAAAAATTACAGACCTGCACCCTTAAGATACGTAAAGACCTATCAAATATTCAACTCTTAAAAACATGCCTAACTTTAAAAATTAATATTAAACACGAAAATTTCGTTATAAAGCTCAGTTCAAAGAAATGGTCTGCAGAAGATACTGCCGGATTCACTCAGCCTTCCTATGGCCAAATTTATTAATTTATTTTTTGCCAGCTTTAAACACGGCATCCAAAAAATAATAATCGCCCGCACAAAATCTTCTTGTATAAAAACACAAAAATATTTTCATTTAAAAACAATTAAATATAATAAAACATAAGGAGAAAGTTCCTACTAGAGTTGGACGTGATCGGTTAATTTTTCCCTACGGCGAGTCAGAGAGAAAATAATAAGTGATTTTGAGTCGCCACAGGGTAAATTAACCGGTCAAGTCCAACGCTAGTTATTATATTTACTGCCACTTTTTTATAGACTCGGACGCTCATGAGTGGTTATGTTGGTACAGAGATTTCAATATTTTTGAGGTTATGTATGCGGAAAGAATTATGTCGGGATTGGCCCCAATATAATTACGCTTGTAATTACACCTTAATAATTTATGTATTAATTTGATTTGATTAGAAAATTGTTGAAATATAGGAAAGTTTAAGATTTTCGTCGTATAGAATTGCATTATTTTTTGGATGTCAATTCTTCAATTGGCAAAAAACAAGGTGTATTACAATAAACCAATAACAAACGTCAAATGTCAGAATTGGTCAACGAAGTATGAAAGAAAGTTAGAAAATTATATAACCAAAATTTTTTGCCGTAATTTAATACGGCATCCAAAAATATAAGAGAAAGCTATTAATGAATGCGACTTTAAAATATCAAACTATATTTTCATTTAAATCAAAATAAATTTAATTAAGTATAAGGAGTATAAGAAGTTCAATCCAAGGATAATTTGTTATTACAAAAATAAAATTTGAAAGTGATAATTTGCTATGGGAGCTAAGCCCATGGTTCGTATAAAAAATTTACATAGAACGCGGAAAAGCTTGGGAAAGAAAAATCAAGAAAGGATATGATATATGGCAATCAAATTTGTCAAGTTATTTGTTTATTGCCAACATTCAATGCGGCATCCAAAAATAATAACCGAGCGAGAACCACATCAACCGACTTACTAAGACTCCAAAAATATTTTTTTATTTAAAACAAAATAAATATAATAGAGTATATGGATAAAATGTTATATATGTATGTCGGGGTAGAAACACAAAAAATTAAACTTGGAAATACTCTGTAAAGCGGGCTTTGAATAAGCAAGGAGCTTATTTATTCATTAACCTTCCGAGTGCTTATTCATCCCGGGAAAGACGGTCTCGTTATTATAAAAAAGAAAGGGGTCGTTTGGGCGCGGGGATAGCGCGCAGAGTCATTAAAGTGCAGTGTCGTCTGGGCGTCAGCTGATTGGGATTTAGATAAAATGGTGATCAAATGGGAATATTTTTAGGGTCATGGTTGTTGAAGATAATGAGGTCGGAAGGTATTATTTTTGGATGTCGCATCTAAAGCCGACAAAA